ATGATGTTAATTACTGCACATATAGCAGTTTATTTGGTTACTCCCAACGCCCATATGTATTCCATAGCATAAGGGGACCAAATTCCATGGCAAGAATGCCTAAATTCTACAGTAATGTTAAAATTACTCTGTAGTACAAACACTCTTCTTTCCCATCCAGTTATGCCTCGAAAAACATTTAATTGCAATTTAGGGGTTTACGATATTCAGATGCAAAGTAAGTCAATGTTTATTTTCAAGTATGGTAACCCAGCTCCAATTTGTGGGCCTCAACTCCTGCAGAACCATCTACTAGGTAGCCTGGCTCAGAACCTTCTTGTCTCCATTTAGGCCAAGGAAGAGAGTAGCTTGCAGCTGGCTTCAGCAACTCACTTCTCTAAGCCTTGACTTCTCTGTTGTTCTCTAGGTAGCTCAAACTATATTACTAATTTTCTCTGTTTACAGGCTGTAAACTGGACTCCAGCTCTGGCTCCCTAACTTCCTAGCTCCATGGACCTATAGTCTGATCTATTATGAGAGATTCTTAAATTGTTTAGTTTATGAACATGGAGGGAGTGTCGCCTGTAATCCAATAATTCCTCCTTGTGGGGAAGATGGGTAGTAAGAGGCAGCAACAATCAGGGCCCAGGTCATGGAGACAGAAAATAAAATATCAGATGCTTGCATCAAACAAAATGGTAAATTTTATGGCATATCTGAAAAATGCCAATATTTGCAGCTACACAACCAGGAGGTCTTGATTAAGATGAATGGGACAATTCAGAACTATTATTTCAGGCTCCTTGTTAACACAGGAAGACAACACTGGATCTATTTACACTCTGTAGACATTCTCAAGCAGGGCCAGCTCCAGGTTTTCTGCCGTCCCAAGCGGGCGAAAAAAAAAAAAAAAAAAGCGGTCGCGCCACTCCACTCTTCGGTGGCAATTCAGCGGCAGGTCCTTTGCTCCTGGACGTGCCGCCCCAATAGCAGCCAGAGTGCCGCCCCTCGGTATTGGCCGCCCCAAGCACCTGCTTCTTTAGCTGGTGCCGGCCCTGTTCTCAAGACTATGTCTACACTGTATTAAAAAAACCTGAGGCACTGAGTCTCAGAGCCAGAATCAGCTGACTCAGGCTTGTGGAGCTTGGGCTCAACCCTCACAGGGTCTCAGTGCCCAAACTCCAGCCCAAGCCTGAAAATCTACACCCGGGGTGGGCAAACTTTTTGGGCCGAGGGCCACATTTGGGTGGGGAAATTGTATGCAGGGCCAGGGCAGGGGGTTGGGGTGCGGGAGGGAGTGCGTGGTGTGGGAGGGGGTGTAGGAAGGGGCTCAAGGCAAGGGATTGGGGCAGAGGAGGGGTATGAGGGGGCTGAGGTGCAGGAGGGATGCGGAGTCCAGGAGGGGGCTCAGGGTAGGGGTGCAGACTGCAGGAGGGGGCTCAGGGCAGGGGGTTAGGGTGCAGGGTGCGGTGGGGGTTCAGGGCAGGGGGTTGGGGTGCAGGAGGGGTGCAGGGTGTACGAGGTGCTCCGCATGCGCTGCCCTTGCCAGGCCTCCAGGTGCCTCCCCTGAAGCTCCCATTGGCCGAGAACGGGGAACTGCAGCCAATGGGAGCTGCGGGGGGCGGTGCCTGGGGGCCGCAGGGAAGTGGTGCCGGACGCTTCTGAGAATGGCGCAGGGCCCACGGCGCCATGGGGAGCAATCCCCCGGGCCAGATCCAAAGTCCTGAGGGGCCGGATCCGGCCCACGGGCCATAGTTTGCCCATCCCTGATCTACACTGTACTGTTATAGCCCCACAGCTGAGCCAGCTTACCTTGGCCAGCCATGGGTCTTATCACATTGTAGACATATTCTTTATAAGTTTTTTTTTTTTTTTTTTTTGAATGAAAGCTTACTTTTGAGAACTGCAGAATACTTGGAACTCTGGTTACTCCTAATCTCAAACATCAGACTGGTCATTTTAAATGATGTTAATTTATCGAATCGTAAAATTTTATAAGCTATAAAGATGGAATTTGGTGCCGTACATTAAGACACATAATGGATCTGAATTTTAAGCAGGATTGGGTAAATTCCTCACTAGTTGTGATTATATATTATTATAGTAGCTACCAGTTAAGCTTTAGAAAGTAGAGTGATCCCCTGGAGGATTCAGAAAGATACCTTCACTAGTGCCATCATTGTGTACAACATTATACAGTCATCAAGATGAAATCTGGATGTACTCACACCTTCCCTGGAAGCTTCAGGTTTCTGTCACTGTAGGAGGTAGAATACCATGAGATGGACCAATTATGGAAGTCCCTAAGATTCATAAGTTGTGCTTTTTTTTTTTTATGATCTTGTTTGATTCCCACACACAGTCATGCATTCTTAGGGTATATCTATACTAGAGTGACTGCACCGGCACAGCTATGGCTCTGCAGCTGTGCTGCTGTAGTGTAGACACTTCCTACATTGACAGAAGGGGGTTTTCTGTACATATAGGTAATCCACCTCTCTGAAAGGAGGTATCTATGTCAACGGAAGAATTTTAGATGTAGGCCAGGCCTTAGTATTTTTTTCCTAGGGCAATTAAATAGTTTTCATGCCTACTATAGAGGTGTCTAGGTCTCTTTCTTGACATATTTTGTAGTAATATATTCAAGAAGGGTTGAATATTCAATCTTCTTCAATCATTGAGGGGCCCACTTAGGGATCTGGGGCAAAATCAGTACTTGATCCTGCTAGTGAAGGCAGGGGGCTGGACTCGATGACCTTTCGGGGTCCCTTCCAGTTCTATGAGATAGGTATATTTAATATTGCTAGATTGCATTTCTGTCTCCGTAAAGGCTTGAAAGGTCATGCATTCTTTTATTACTGCCACTTAAAATTGATTAACCTATTTGTGGTTTTGCCCTTAATGCTTGTATACATTCTAAAGAATACAAAAAGCAGCTCCTGGGGCCTCTTAATGTGGTACAATGCCCAGCATCACTGAGTTAATTTTAAATATATAAGCCTCAGATTTAGTTAAGGACTAACTTCTCCACCTGCCATTCCCCATAAAATATATCATTTGTTGTTTGTCAAAGCTAAGCAGCTCTGCATTTTGTTTAATGTCTCCATTTACTTGCACACTGGAGACATGAGTTACTAGAAGGATTAAGTATCATAACCAGATTGTCCTATGGCTGAAATACACTACATACCCCTATTTGTTGGGGGAGGGGAGAGGAAATGTCAGGGCTATTTCAGGGGCAGGAAATGAAGTATGATTAAAAGAAGAGTGCAGTTATAATCTGGAAAGTGACTCTAAAATGGCATAACGAGACACAGGATGATACATCTTCCAGGTCAAGTTTACTCAGTTTAGAAAAAACTTTTTTCTGAGACATGCAAACTGAACATGGGATATGAAAGTCAATTTGTGTTATTACTAGTTCGTGAGCAGTGAACCCTACACAACTGAGGTGCTTCAATTACACAACTGATTGTAGCTGCTATATAATACACCTCACTTGGCGGCAAGGCTTATTGGTAAGGCATACTCAGAAAAGGACAGCTTGACTTTCACATCTTCAACTTAGTTTGCAAGTCTGAATGTTCTTAAAAAACAACAACAAAACAATTTCTTTCACATATAAACTGAGCACACTGGATCTGGAAATTTTCAGAGATGGTAAATGTTTTTACTAACAAATGCCACCTCAAAGATTTAGCTATTAATTGGTCATTCAAAATTTTAAGGCAACCTCTTGCTATCATCGGCATTATTGCTGCTCTGATGATTCATCAAAGACCATTTATATCATATGAGACAGCTGGAGAGAAGTTACAGTACTTCTTTCATTATTACCTATTGGTGACATTGTAACATTATTTTTTAAATTTTGCTGACGGAATGAGACATTAAAATGGAGGACTTAAATCACAGAAACAACAACAACAAATTGCCAAAGTTATTATTGGTCACCTGCATATTGTTGCTGACTGAGTTTGTCACATTTTTTATTTGTGCCATCATGCTGAGACCACTGCTTTTTAATATGACAAAATCTTACAGCTAGCATAACTATCTGCAGAAAAGAAGAGTAAGCGGGGGGAGGGGGAGGGGATTTGATAGCAGCCTTCAACTACCTGAAGGGGGGTTCCAAAGAGGATGGAGCTAGGCTGTTCTCAGTGGTGGCAGATGACACAACAAGGAACAATGGTCTCCAGTTGCAGTTGGGGAGGTCTAGGTTGGATATTAGGAAAAACTATTTCACTAGAAGGGTGGTGAAGCACTGGAATGGGTTACCTAGGGAGGTGGTGAAATCTCTATCCGTAGAGGTTTTTAAGGCCCAGCGTGACAAAGCCCTGGCTGGGATGATTTAGTTGGTGTTGGTCCTGCTTTGAGCAGGGGATTGGACTAGATGACCGCCTGAGGTTTCTTCCAACTCTAATCTCCTATGATTCTTTCTGTCTGATTATAAACATGAGGGCCAACAAAGTGAAGTACCACAAACTTTCAAGTATAGTTAGTGCTAATGAGAAATGCCAAGAGACAGCATTCTGCACTTAGTTGCTCACAAGAACACAGAGCTTGTATCCAAAATATACACCCAAATCTTCCTCACTACGATCAAGAATTTGCAGTGATAGGAAAAAAATGGATCAAGCTACACCTGATAATTTACTTTAAACAATTCTAAATCTTTACAGTATTCATTGTTTAAGGTTTCATTAATGAGAGGGAATAATTTCTGAATTACAATAATCATAAAAGTCTTGTTATGAAAAATGAGGATGTCAATAACTTTTAGAAAGGCTAATAAAGATATTTCAATACATTCAGTGTCTGTTTCTAAAAATTTTATATTCTTTGAAACAAAAAAGAAAAACGCTGATACTGATAATAAATGACAAGAAATTGCTTAGCACTGCATTATCTGGTGCCACACAGACCTCATCTCAGTATAAATGGTATTTTGACAGCCAATGTTAGTTAGAGAGAGAGAGAAAGAAACTGTAAATATTAGTGTGGATAATCATGGAACTTACTTCAATTGACTGAGATTGCCCATCATGGGGATGAGGTGATCTTGGATAAATATCAAGAAGGTGAGGTGGGTCATCAGTATGTATTCTTCTAATATGTTGTTTAAGAACTTCCTTATAGTTAAATGAATCAAAATTGGTCTTCCACAGTAATACCTGTAAATCAACCATCAACCTTATTAAAATTGAATAGTTTTTTTAATATGGAAAATAACTCTTCAAAAGGAAAACTCAGGAACTTGATTTTCAAAAAGTAATGGTACTAATCGTCTGCTCTCCAAATTGCAATACAATAGCTATGTGCAATTTCCATAAAGAACCTACAATATCATTTTAAAGGCAAAACACTGTTTAAAATAATAAAGGTTCAATGTTAGGAATTTTACTTTCAGCATATTCTAATATCCAAACCATAACTGTTTAGTGATATTCTGTTGATTACAGTTAAAAATACAAGCACCTCAAAATTTGTAACAGAAAAAAAAAAAAACATTCTAACAAGTCTTGGCAATACAGTATAAGGTTTTGGACTTTGCATTGAAATATAAATATAAGGGTTTGTCCCCTGACAAACCTATGCTTGCAGAAGATAAAGAAATGTTGACGAATTATAGCATATGCTCCAGACCCCACCCCGATTCTAATAGATTAAAGAATAAAACAGGGTAACATACTTATACTGAACTAGAAAATGAAGGATTGTTAAATAAGATTAAGAGCTTTGATATAGCTATATTTTACTAATTTGTAATTATGAATAATTAATTATAGATAAGCTAACACTTAGGTCAAGCCCTTGCCTGGCATGAGTGTGGTTTTGTCAATTCTTTGATATAAAATTGCTGAATTGTTTAAGATGATGTTATTTGCTGTCAAGATAAGTAATGTATTGTGTTGGAAGATGCAAGTAAGAGGTATACAATCATGTAATGATAAATAAAAACCCCTTTTTCTGGGAAGATCCAGGAACATGGTGACATGGAACAACACGATCCAGAACCTGCAAAACTATCCGGAAAAATGCAGAAGTTGGGTAACTGAAGGTTACTCATGTAATGTATGGATACATATAAAAATTAAACAGGTGATGTGCTAAAGGCCAACTGGATAAAATGAAGTAATTTGGAACGTAGAAAGATACAAAAGACCTAAGTGAACTCTGCCCAAACTGTAGAAACACCGAACCAGAAACTGAAGTACTGGACTAAAGGACCAGACCAGGATATCAGAGGAAGCAATGACCATCATGGAAGGTGAAAGGACTTCCCAGTGCCCCAGAATGTGGTAACTTGGGTTGTTTACAAATTCTGTCTTCTCTGTTATTATTGCATGGCATAAATATATGTTCAGACACTGTAAGTAACAATAATTTTGTCTGAAATTGCATAAAGGGAAAAAATTGATTAAGCCTAAACCACCACCATCTTTGGTAAATTGTTCCAATAGTTAATTCCATCACGGTTAAAAAATTTCACTTTATTTTTAATCTGAATTTTTCCTAGCTTCAACCTCCAATCATTTGATCTTGTTATATGAATCTGTGCTATACTGAAGAGCCCTCTATTATCAAATTTCTATTCCCCGTGTAAGTACTATTGTCAAGTCACCTCAACCTTCTTTTTGATAAGCCAAAGAGATTAAGCTCCTTAAGTATTTTCTTATAGACACGTTTTCCAATCCTTCATTTAGTAGATGGCTCTTCTCTGAGCCCTCTGATTTTTCAACATCCTTCTTGAATTTTGGACACCAGAACCGGACACGATATTCTATCAGCAGTCCCACCTGAGCCAAATACAAAGGAAATAGAGCTGCTCTGTTCCTACTCAATATTCCCTCATTCATGCATCCGAGAATTGTGTTAGCCCTTTTGGCCAAACTCATTGATGATTCCCCATTTACAATTACATTTTGAGACCCATCAGTAACTTAGTTTTTAATCCATTTAATATGTGCCATGTTAATTTTGTATCATTCTAGTTTTTTTAATTAAAATGTCATGCAGTACCAAATCAAATGTCTGTTTCCTTTAAATTTCTTTAGTGGAAGGACTCCATGTAGGACTATAGGCCTAGTTTTGGCCTCAATGAGATATTGTTTTAAGTTGGATTTAGATATTAGCATGAGTGATAGGCCCAAAGCATTTGACCAAAAAGAATGAGATCACAAGAAAGGAGGATTGTTTGCATTAAAGATGTAATGACCCGTGCAATACCAGTGTTATCTTATTTAAGGTTTAGGTTGAAGTAACAGAAAATGAAGAAAACATGGTCAATTGGGTGCTAGGTCCAGGGCTCAGCACAAAAATTCCTTCCCTTGGCTTTAGCGAAGGCCCAATTACCAGCAATGACATCACTTGTTTATTATAGTATATAAAATCAGGGTTCTTTAGGAATGAATGTCTTCATGAGAGCTTTTCCTTACCCCTCTGGAATCATACCATGATGGGAAGGTATCACCCAGGGCCTGATCCTGTTGTAAGTATTTTGGCCAATGCTTATAACTGAATTGTTAGTAGGATACAGAGAATAAGTGTGTATATAGTTATATTGTTATTTTTGATGTAACCAACACCAAATGGACTCTGGAATACGAAAGAAATGTTTGCGTGGAAAAAGAATCCTGGCAAACCTTGATAAATCTATTGGGGAAATTATTTCCAACATGCCCGTTTGAACAAAAGTTGACAATTATGTAGCCTCTCTCCAAATTAAGAAAGATTGGTATGGAGAAGATACAATATAGTTCCCTGTTCACATGTTCATTTTATAGCTGCTTGACTAGCTACTCAAAAGTTATTTGTTGCAGTCATGACAGAGAACACCAGGGAAACAGTACCTAAAATGTTTGTGGGGAGGAAATTACAATATCTGTGTGTATAGCAGGAAAAGAAAAAAAGGGTTGATGGAAATTCAGTAATGTTAACTATTTGACTACTCCCTTGACTGGGGGCTTTCACAGAACATGCCCTTGTCAGAGGCAGGTAGGATACAGAGAATGCGCTCATCACTTATTCATTCTTGTAAGAAAGACTAAAGTAGTTTTTGGGCAGTTCAACCTTTACTCTATTCCCAAATAACTGGACTGTTATTGTTACTTTTGACTGTTAAAAATCTTCGTTACATGATTGTTTCAAGTCTCACCTCTTCCATACTGCTGCTTCTTGAGTGGAAATCTAAAGTGTACAAAACATTTGAAAAAAAACCTCTGGTCCTAGAAGGTTATACATTCCTTATGGAATTGTTCCCTGTCATGGCCTCTCGGGGTGGCCTCAGCTTCACCTAACTGCCCTCCCCCCATTAACTTGCTATCAGTGAGGTCAGTGTTTGGACCCTTACATTCCTTAAAGCCTGTTACTTCCTAGGTGCGTCTCTCTGCTAGTCTCCTGGCTGTTTTCTTGGAGGCAACCTGGTGCAAGGCTGTCACCACTTTGCTACCCCAGGCCTTTCTGCCTCCCGTTCTTTCTCTGCCCTCTTCTCTTTATAGCAGACCCCATTTCCTTTATTGGTTACAGCTGTGGGTGCCTGCCTCCATCATTGGCAGGTCTGGCAGCTGCAAGGGGTTGTGATCAAGATGCTTGCTTGTAAACAGGAGGGACTCTCCTCCCCTCTCTGTCTATGTTCAGTATGGGGTTTGTAGACCCCATTACATTCCCCCTTTCATCTCTGTGGGTGGCCACTCAATTTAACTATGCCATTTCCTCTTCTCACTGGAAAGAATTTGGTTAACACTGTTCATGTGAATAACTATAGCCTGCTACTCTTAAAAAAAGAAAAATGAAAGGTTCCATGGTCTGTTGTGCCGAATTTTAAAGATTAAGATATATTAATGTAAACTGTAGCAAAATACACAGGACACCAAGAAAATGATAACCGGATAGAATTATGATTGGGAAAGAATGAGAGCTCTTTGAAAGGTAAATAAAAACAAGGTAAAATAGGATTGACAGAGAGACTTTATACATTTTACAGAGCAATAGCCAACATGATATGGAGTATGTTCCTATGAAAAATCTTCACAAAAATGCCATGTAATAACAATACCCCCCAAATCAAAAAGCATGTGTTATGTAGGATTCTCTTCCATTGAATTAAGTTCTCCCTTAAGAACTGAAAATATCTACGATGCAGTGATTTATGCGGAAGTTAAAAAATATTTTTTAAAAAGCCTTTAAGAACACAAGAGATGCCAATACTATAACATATAATAGCTTGAAGACAGACAGCTATAAAGAAAACACTATGTAGTGGGGGGAGGGGAGTAGGATTTCAAGATGATGTGCAAAAGCATCACTCAACCATGCTCCTTAAGCATTTTAAAAGGAAAGAAAAAAATCCAAAACAAATTCCAATTTAAACCTCCATATAGATTGGAAATGTAAGCAAGTGACATCTGATTGAGCTTTATCTATTCCATGTAATCTGACAAAATAATCCACTTCATAATGACAAATTTTGGAAAACATTTTTGTTCTATTGTCTTTACATAAAGTAGCCTTTTCAACAGATGACAAATGTTACTAGATCTCCTAAGGCATTACTACGGGGAAATCTGTGTCCTTTATGTGCATCATCTGTGCTACTAACTGTAGCTATTTACTAAAAAGTTTTAATAATTACCTCAAGACATCCCCTAAAATGAATACATTTAGTATAGAGATTATTAGAGAAGCACTATAGCAGTTCCAGAAAGTTGAGTTGAGATTTCAGCTTAGACCAGGAATTAAAAAACTCTTGTAAGAATTATAGAAGGGTCACTGGCTGGCCAGTGCACCCTCCCCTGGCTGAGCATAGTTTAGCAGTCTCTTCTGGTGCCCCCATCCTTGCTCACTCCGAGCCTGAGGTAGCTTGCACCCCTTTTTCTGACTCAGCCCTTCGGTCGGGTCATCTATAGTCCATCCCTTCCAGGGTAATAAAGACTCCAATAAAAGCAGAAGTCTAATGACCTGGCAGCCCCACCGTAGGTTTGATAAGTTTGGAGGATCAGTGTGGGAACCCAGGCCTTCCCTCTTCTCTGGGTTCTGGCCCAGGGACTCTATTAAGCAGCTAGAATGCTTCCATAGACTTCCTGCTGTCAGGCTGATGCAAGAGGCTGCATGCTGCCAGAGTGCCCCAGGGGACTCTCCCCTTGAGTTCTCTGGCTGCGTGCAGCCCCTTGCACCATGAGCCTTCTCCAACTGTTTGGGAAGTCTCTTTAAATTCTTTTTCCTGGGAGTTCTCCTCCCTGTTCTCTTCTCTTTTATTTTGGAGACTCTTCTCTCCAAGAACAGCCATTTATCTCAGCTGTGGGTGGTCATCTTAGTCACAGCTTGGGAAGTAACTGTTCTGCCCATTCACCCCTTCCTGGCTGTTACAGTGGAGGGTTTATATGCCTCTCACAGAATACTGTACTGTATCCCCCGTAGAACAACACTTATTCTTTTTAGTAAGAAACACGCTCCTCAGAATTTCCATGTAAATCTGTTAATTAGTTTATGAATTATAATTATTTTACAATGAGCCCTTTAAGAATTGTTTTTGCTAACTCTGTTTTGGCTCCTTAATGCAAATAAAATTCCTAGTAATTTTTCAGATCTGAAGTCTGACTTACTTCTCAGGTGCAGCAAAATGTAAGGTATAGGCTACTTTAATTTTTTTTTTTTTTAATTAACATTGTTATTTTTAACCATTTCTATTTCAATTGAAATAATGGAGTATTTTGGTCATTGAATAAATGCTCAAGAAGCTATAGATTAAAATGTTTTTATCCTTCATGGTTGTGAAGAGCTAATAGCTCCAAGAGATGCAAAGTGCCTTGAGATGTATGGATAAACAAAGCGTTGTGTTACTTGACAGGTAAATTCATAAGAACTTTTTGCCTTTTGAAGACTATTAAGCTTACTATAACAGTTTCACTATTCCACTATTTGGTGTACTTTTTTCACCTCCAAACTGCACTCTTTAATTAGCACATAGTAAAGTGAAAAAGCATTTGCACGAATTTGGTAAGATTTCCTCCTTTTATGCTCAAATATTTTAGTTGTTACATCTAGCTTCATTTTGATGATAATTTCATTTATTGACCACGTGTCTTTCTGCAAATCTTTTACATCTCAAATTTCAATCTTTTTTACTAGCAAAATACTCCAGCATCAATATTCTTGCTTCAGTCAGAGTTTATTTCTCTCCAATATTTGCTAGTCTTTCGATTGCTGTTGCAGATTCATTGTCATGTCAGCAGTTCTTTTATTTCCTTTGAGTTTCCCCAACTCATTTCTAGAAAAGGTGCCACGTGAAGCTACATCTCTGGTTCTTTGCATCTGATTGCACTTTAGAAGTAAGACAGTGGTGTCTTCTTTCTAATACCACCTGAGTCTTTAGTTTGAACTTTATTCCTTCAAGTTGTGTTTTCTATTAGTTGTTGAATAAAATTCCACCCTTTTCTTCCCCCAACAAAATATGAAACATGTTTGTAGTAACTCCCCGGAGTGTCACTTCCACAAAGCTGTTCTCTGTGCCTACATCATGGGCCCCCAAAACACATTTTGTTCTTTTTTTTTTTTGTTATTGCCACATAATACTGAGGAAGCATTTTATAGACTATAAAGTTCTAATCCAAGTGCTAGATGATTTCTATTTTCCTTAATTGTGCCCCTTTATTCTTTTACCATGTAAAGACCTGGAGAAGCAGCTCTAAGACCAGATATGGTGGCATTTCATAGTGACCAGATTTACCCACAGTGGCACAATCTACTGCACCCACAGTCGGGATAAGGATTAATTATATGACACGCTGGTTTAATAAAACTTATTTTGCCTGGAATTATTAAACTGATACTCTGTATGAAATCTAGTGCTTTGGCTAATTTAAACTGGCAGAACAACAATCTAAACAGATTTTGCCCTATCTCAGCCCAAATTTTCTAATATCTCATTAATTTGTGCACTAACAGACTAGGTACCTTCCTCTCATTAGAAGGGACAACCTAGCAAACAGAGCATGTATGTAGATATATATATCCTATGTGAATCATCATCAAGATCATCTTCTTTAACCAAAGCACACTAGTAACAGCAAAATTACTTTCCTGCTGTGCACTTCTGAATAGAAGAGATTTGTTTGAATTGCTGTATTATGATCCACATTGTTTCCCTGAACTTGAATCATTACTTCTGGTGTCTTTCTTATGATATGGGACTCAAAATACAAATGGAGTGCAGTCCTGTTTTTTACTGTAATACTCAATTGGAACCAGTGAATGTAAAAATGTGATTTTATTACACAAAACAAAAATAGTATAAGATATCGCAAATTAAACTTGCATATAATCCTACCTAGAAACAATTACTAAAAACATGCAAAATGGATCCAATAAGTCTACTGTAATTCTCATGTTTCAAAACACTAACTCATTCACTCACTGTAATAAATACTGAAAGAATGATTGTTTTATATAGAACATCTAGTTTTTAAACAAACCTGTGCATCAGCTCCACCTGATGCAAATTTTTCCCCACCTTTGGAAAAGGCCACAGAAAGCACAGGTCCCTGTAAAATTAAAAGCAAGTTCAGTAATGTGCTAAAATAATTTATTTCTATTACAGTCTCTCCCTTTACACTGAAATATAGATAGTCATCTGTTGTTCAACAGAACTCCAGAACTGCAACAACTTTCTAATGCTAATGAATAAGATAGACAAAATGGATGAGGTAATATTTTTATTGGACCACCTTCTGTTCGTGAAAGAGACAAGCTTTCAAACTTTCTGAAGAGGAGGAGCTCTGTACAGCTCAAAAGCTGGTCTCTTTCACCAACAGAAATTGGTTCACTAAAAGATATTACCTCACCCACCTTGTCGCTCTAATATCCTGGGACTAACATGGCTACAACACCACTGCAAACAATTAATGAGAAATAGTCCAATTGCAATGATGATTTCTACAAAATTAAAGTTGAGTGAAAGATGAATACTACAAATCACAGGAAAATATTAGGTCATGATTATTGCCGTATTACTTACTATTCTAAACAATACTATATTTCCCATATCTATTTTACTTTATATTTACTTTGAATTATTTATGATAAAAATATCAAATATATAGTAATCAGAAAGTAGGGTTTGCTGCATATTAAGGAGGAAGAGAGAAAAGGAAAGTGGTGATAGGAGGTTCTTGTTAAGACTGTCACACACTCCTCCGTTAAGCTCATGTGCTGTATAAACCTTCTGTAGTTATCTAGTAGATGATTAGTTGTTCATCTGCAAAATTACTGAAGAACATAACCCTCTTGATTTCAGATATTAATTCAGTATGAAAACTGTTACCCAGCATTAAGCACATACACTGTAGTGGCATGACTGTCACTTAAGGTTATGCAATTTCTGTCAACTTGTGAGAAGCTGCATTACTGCAAGAGTTTGTTTTCCATTGAAAATGTAGTGCATTGGTAAATAACTGCCATCATTAGTGCACCACGCAAGTGTATTATTTCTCCTCTAATGAAGTTATTAAACATATCGATATGATAAAATCTACTAACATTTCAGTTAAAAAAGAACTACTACAGTACTGCTATACCTTGTGTCCATGAAGCGTATATATAAGTCTTCCTTCTAAGAGATCCATAATTTTAAGGGTACCATCAGTAGAAGCAGTGATGAGATAGTTACCAGAAGGATGGAATGATACACAATTAACTCCTCCTCTGTGAACTAATTCACAAGAGACAAAATTCAGACATTGATACTAACTATTGGAAATAAAATCTACGTTTCTTATAGTAGTTGCTTTCTAGTGCCCAAAACAATAATCAACTCCCATTATTACTGAGAGAAAAGAAAAACAAATGTGAAAGAAAGCAGTTACTCAGTTCCATGCTAATACAACAGAAAAATTACAAAATGAAGAAAAATTCTGAGATGCTAAAGTAATTAATGCTTTTATTAAAATAAAGGATGCAGACTTGTTTGCTTTCCAGTTAGCAGGGGGAATTAATTTAAATTCATTTAAAAAAATATTAATTTAACAAAGAAAAAATATCTGAGTATAATTGCAGTTATAGTAATCCTAGTCAATTCATTGATTACAAAAAGTATTCATGGTGTAGGAGGAGCTTTGTTGACATCATGTATTAAATTTACCAAGACAGAAATAAATCAGACATTAACATATAGAATGTTAAAAATCATGATATTAAAGAGTTTGACAAACCAAAAAATATAAAGCAATTCAAAGCAAAGGTTATTTTCTGTGGTTAATTTCATACTGTTAAACCTAAACTCCTTATGATCACATACCGGTGAGTGTGTTTTCTGGTACCTAGACCCAATAACATGAGCTTAGGATGATAAGAAAGCCTTAGCATTGAATGTCCCATCTTTTATTGGCCAAACTCAGATGGTTAAGCTGACTTTCACAGCATGGGGCTTTTTAAAATAAAATAAATATGAATTCTTAAGATTACAGCAACTTCTCAGAGTCTGTAAAATTATAGGACAGTTTCAAAGGGACCAAGTTGAAATACGTTGCAGTTTTTAACTCAAATGGCATTCTTCTGAAAGCTAAAAATGTAGACAAAATGTAATAGAGTCACTAAAACATATAGAAAAGACATATTTAATAAATATTAAATGTTTACATTATTGTTTTCTGTACTGTCAGTTTCTGTTCTTGGAGAAGAGGGACTGAGTCATATTAATCACACTGTCACATCCTGATGTAGCAAAATACTTCGGCACATAGCTAACTTCAATGGAACTATGCACAGGCTTAAAGTTAAACATATGCTTAAACATGTGCTTCACTGGATCAGGGCCCTAGTCAATCAGGGCCAGATCTTGTGAGATGCAGAGCACATTCATCTCCTATTGATTTTCCTTGGATCCTACTGACTTTAAACCAACTGCAGCTGGACAATCAGCACATTGTAAGACCTGTCTGTTACCGAGTGGCAACAGACACTGAATGGAGCCAATTCTCCTATTTGGTCATAAGGATGGTGGCCCAGGCATAAAAAACAGGTTAAGAATCTCCTTTCCTTGCCCCAATAAACAAAGTATATCACTAACTACAGCTCTTTTTAATCATTTTTAAAATTTGGCTATTTGGTGGAAAATATTAGTCTTTGCTACAAGCTAATGGCTTGGTGAATTTCAATTTACAAATGGGTAGTAGCTATTTTTAATAGTTACAAAAACAGAAAAAAGTTGTTTTATACTAAACTCCACTCACAAAAAAGCCTCTTTGAGCAGTCAGGCCACTATAAAAACTCAAAATTATGATTTTTAAGGAAAAATTGTTTTTGGAGGAAGAAAAGGACATGTCTGTATTTTAGCTGTTTTCTAAACATTGGAAAATAGATTTAGGGCATGTCTACACTAATAAGTTAAGTCAACTTAATGCAAGTTGACACTCAGACACTGCAGTAAATAAGTTGGTCGGTTGTGTCAGTGGAGTGCATCCTCACTAGCAGCGCTTGCATTGATGCACAGAGTAGTGCACCACGGGTAGCTATCCCACAGTGTAACTAGCTGCAGGGGGTTATGGGAAGGGCTTGCAACACCTCATGGAACCAAAACATTGTCACAGGGAGGAATGCGAACATGGCTTCGGCCTCCCATGATCCCGCTTCCTCCATCCCTCCCCTGATATCAACGGCAAACAACCCATATTTTCTTGTGTCTTTTTTTGAAAGCCTGGCTTAGCCACACATATGCAATAGCCCAAGAAGCAGGGACCTCGCTCAGCTGTGCATTTTTGTTGTGAGCATTACAAACACCTTGTGCCTTATCCTGCAGTATTTCCAGAGCCGAGACAGGAGCCACAGTGCGGAACATTGCAATGTCATTCAAGCAGCCCAGCTGCAAGCCATAGAAAGAAACAATTCCTGGTTGCTTCT